TGCGGTGCTGTGTCTTGCACTTGACGGCTGATATGCTCCAAGAAGCTCTGTTTGGATGAGGAAGTTTACGCTTTCTCTCTCTCTTCGGAGAGGCATGTATTTATCGGAAATAGACTAGGAAAATAGACTAAGACATCGAATGTAGAGTGACAAGCGGCGTTCTTCAACGCCATTTCGCCACCCTGAATGTTAGAGGAATTTCGGCGAAGTCCAAACAGGACGCGCTCAGCAGAGGATTATCGTCGTACAAAATCAACATTTCAGTGCTGCTTACAGGAGACGAGGCTCGTGGCCGGGTTAGATATTGAGAGCGAATGAAGAGTGACAAACGGCGTTCTTCAACGCCATTTCGAATTGCCACCCTGAATGTTAGAGGAATTTCGGCGAAGTCCAAACAGGACGCGCTCAGCAGAGGATTATCGTCGTACAAAATCAACATTTGCTGCTTACAGGAGACGAAGATCGTGGCCGGGTTAGATATTGAGAGAGGCGGGTATCGGCAGATCTGTTTTCCGCCGGAATGTCGACACTACGGCCTGGGTTTCGCGATATCGTCATCCTATGCTGCGAAGATTCACCGTTTCTGGCAAATTTCCGACCGAGTTGCGGTACTTACTCTTCACCCATAGGCCATGTCAGAATGCTGACAACAAGCCAGAGAGGGCAAACTGCTCCTTCGCCGTTATCAACGTGTACGCGCCAACAAGCTCAAAATGCTCACAGTCAGCAGACGAGATAGACAAATTTTACTCAGCATTGTCGACTGCGTACGAGCAGGTCAGAGGCTGCACGCTGCTCTACATTGCCGGAGACTTCAATGCTAAAGCAGGAGTCAGAAGACCTGGCGAGACTGCTGTGGGGAGTCATGGCAGAGGAATTCGTAATGTGAATGGACAGTCACTTGTGGACTACTGTGACAGCAATGGCCTGTACCTGGCCAATACCACTTTCCAGCATGCTGCACGTGGACTGGATGGCGAAGAGACGTGGCGTCTGGGAAAACAGTGCCTATACTAGTATTCAACGAAATATGATTACATTGTGTGCCGTTCATCCCACAAGCGAATGCTGCAAAATTGCCGGAGCTACGGAGGAATGGAGATCAGCACCGACCACAAGCTTGTTGTTGCGGATTTGGATCTAGCCATGCAGGATTTACGGTGTTCATGTTTATATAACTAGTGAATATTCGCCCATATTCCCGAGGCTGAAGGAAATATTTATTTAATTATTATTTCAGTATCGTAAACCGACTGGCGTGTTCTTGCATGAATCGGAGGGTGGCGTGTTCAGAATCTTGTTCAATCGATCGTGTACACGTACTGGTGCATGTGGCATGGGAGGTGACGACCTTGGAGAACACGCTCGTGCCAATCACCATGGAGAACACGCCGGTGCAGCTTTTTGCCGGGAGCCAATCATTAAGACTGGTTTCGTTTCACGCGAAGATTTGACCAATCCGAGAGAGGTTTCGTTTTACGCGAAGATTGACCAATCCGCGATCATCGCGCCAATTCGGGAGTCGGTTTATAAACAGCGAGCCAAGCAGTTCTACCCTCACTTCTTTTCTTTTCAGGCAGCGCTTCAGAGCTGTTGTGTGCCGTAGGAAAATTCTACGCTAACGTCCGTGAACAGGGCTGTGCTGAGTGCAAACGAAATTCCTGGCTTGCCGCTTGATCCGCAATAATCGGGCCAATGACATGTTGAGCGTCCAAAACCTTGTTTGCTCGCTGGAACGCTCCGTCTGTGAAGATGCTCACTGTTGGTTGATGACTTGTCAGCACCTGGTCACATGCGGATCCAGCGGCAATGGCAAGCAAGGAATTTCATTTGTACTCAGAAAAGTCCTGCTTACGGAAGTTAGCGTAGACATTTTCTAGGGCACTCGGCAGCTTCGGTGCGCTGACTGACGAGGAATCAAGCGCAGTACTGCTCTCTTTACACTTACGGTCGTGAATATTAGTGGTGAATATAAGTGGTGAATATAAGTGGTGAATATAAGCTGTGAATATTCAGCAATATTCACTCCTTATGTAGATGGCCAATTGTATGTAGGTGAATATGGAATGAGGTATAATGCTACATTTACCTGACTACGTACGTGTAATGCCATTGCTACATACATTGTAAAGTCTTTATGTAGCAATGTAGTCAGGTAAATGTACAGGTGGTGTAGCATGCCCAACGCTGCAACTGAGGCTGTTACACAATATCCGTAACGATGATTTACGAGGAGTTCTTTTTTTTTTTAGAAATCATGGAGAGCCATGGAGGAGACTAGACGTGCGCGAAGTGAATATCAAAGAGACGAAGAGGAGTTTTCCTGTTATGCCATAGGTTCTGGCCATAGCATCTCTAGCGATACTGAAGAAAACATTCATCTATTGATAAATTTGGACCTGGATGAAGGAGCGGCTATAAACAGAAAGAGGGTGTTCCAAATAACTGCCTTTGCCGAGTCCAGCTCAGCAGGCTCGAAAAGAACTAGAATTTCTCATGGACGCAGTACCAAGTCGAGTTGAGTCCGCAGGAGCGCGTGTCTTACCTGGTGAAGCACGTACAGTTCGCCGTGGACGATTGTAATGCAATGCCAACAGTCAAGTGCTATCAGAAAAGAAGAGTATTGTGGCCAACCTTTTGTCTCCACGCAACCTCAGGAGAAGAAGACAGCGCAAGCAGAGGATGTAGAGCGGCAAAATAACTTCTGACCATGTGTTTTCAGAATTTCCGCAAATGGGAGGGATCTCGATCTGAGATCGTCTCTCGACTGGCCTCGCGTGAGCTGTTCCAGATGAAGACAGGCATTTTTCACAGAGTGGAAGCAGTGACAGCTTGTCTGCAGGCAGGAATACCACTTCCCATGATATGCTTCCAGCATCCAAATGATCACCAGCAATAATGGTTTCACCTCTCACTACATGGATAAGCAAGGGAAAAGATTCGATACACCCACTATTCAGCCACAGCCCTGCATCAAAGTTGCAATGGAGAGCAGCCAATGGAGACTCGAGTCGTGTCTTATAGTGCTAAGAAGTGGTGGAGCTCGTGAGAGATATTGTAGCAGCTTCGGAGGCAGATCGACTAAATGCGTCCTTTCCTGGAAGTTTGACAATGTGCAGCCTTTCTTCCACGTTTGTTCCAAACCAATAGCATTATAGCCTTGTTTGAAGCATTATAATCAGCATTACAAGGTAGTTTTCGGAGCATTATAATAATAATATCTGTATTAGGATGACCCAGAGGCTTGTCGCCTATCAAGGGGTTCAGCGCTTTGAAGGGTGTACATGTATGAGCTATTATGATAAGCATTATACGAACATTTTTTGAGCATTATCCGCTGGACAATAGTCTGCCCCCTACCATAACCTCCATCATAAATATTGCTGAGTTTAAAAGAGAACTGCATAATAGTATGGCTAAGTTTCAATTTATCTACTCAGATGGAGAGCCAAGGTTTAATTTATACAAAAGAGAAAGACCAAAGAACTACAAGAACTACAAGAAGTCGAAGTACAGTGCTGTTTTACTGAGGTGTTCGGTTTTTCATGATTCTTGTTCGCATAGCTTCCCCTTTTATTGATCCTCGCATCTCTTGAGCCACACAAGTTATGTGGAATGTTGCTTTGCGTTCTGGAATCGTGGTTTGACCGTATTGTCCAATGGTATTTCCAGTATCGTCATCGACATGCATGAACATCCGCCACCGTCCTTCACAGCTGAGACTTTCAGCTCGTGCTTATCTTGGTTGCGCTCACCTTCCCCTCCTTATGTTATTTCTATAACTTTGAACCTTCCAAGTTGGAAGGCTGTGGGAGTGCGCATAGATGTTCTAGAGCTGTTGGCCAGTTAGTTGCAGAACGTCAGTACCGTCGGTCAGTGTCGTGCAATGTTATCGCATGAGCTGATTGTTTAGTAACTGGTGGTGTTAGTGGACAGTATAGCGTAACTTGTAGTTCCATGGTCTTTCTCTTCAATTTATCTGCAAAGGTATTCACTGATATTCCTTGTTTTCCTTGTTGATTTGCTCACTCTCAATTGTCCTATCCGTCGTGTTATTTCTCCTCAGTCTCTGCTCACTTTGTATTCTCATATACTCATACTAACTGTACAGGATGGAGACCCCGTCGATAGGACTAAACGGCCTCTGGGAAATCCTTAAAATAAATTATACAATTAGGCCACACTGAAGAAGGTCTTTGGTTCGACTCACCCGACCGACCGTACATTTTTCAGCCCGACCGTAACTTTTTTTCGGCGGGCTGTCGTGTGACTGACGTACGTGGACTGAACACGTCCACGTCTACGTGCTGTGCAGCGTGAGTCTGCGGACGCAGGCGGCTCCTTTTGGACTTGACTTGTAGTTGTACTGCCGTGCAGTGCAGTGAGTGGTACGACTGCTGCCTTGTGCTGGTAGTAGAGTCTACTCGATACGACCATCGGCAGACTGGCGAGACTTATTTTGAAGTGATCGTCCGGTTGAGAGTGATTGCCTCGTTCCAGATTAAGGACGGCCTTCTGTTTTGGGATGAAGGACAGACGAGATTGCACTTTCCTCGTGTATTGGGAACGATATTTCACCTGTACCGGTAAGTTGCTGCTCCGTGTGTGCAAGCACAGGAAGCGTCGATGGAAAAAGCCCATGTATTCGTGCACGCCGACACCAAACTAGCAATACATGTACCGGTACATTGTACAATTTGTACTTCGAAGTAGTTCCCGAACTTACTTTCAACTCGCATCGTTCTTCATTTGCTTGATGATTTGGACAGTCAGAGTCACCGCTTGAAGTTATTCTCTTCTCGTTCCAGAGCTACACAATGTTTCAAATTATTAGCCAGTGATCCCTTTATACAACATGTATGGCATAACACTGCGTAATAATGCCGATGTACAGTACAGTGTATTTACATGTACTAAAATATATATTTAAAAAAATCCGTCCGCCCGCCCGTAAAAAAATGTCCATGTTAGTCGAACCACACACCTTCTTCAGTGTGGCCTTATGTAACTATATAGAAGAAAAAAAGAAAAAGTCAACACTTCAACATAGGCGATAAAATAATTAAAGTGTTAAAAACTCAAAAACAAAAGCTTCAAGTTGTAGACGAACACTTTGGACACATCAGGGAACACTTGTCACACTTTCACGAGGTGTGACACCAAACAACTGCGACGATAAGTAAGCGTCGATAACACATTCTCCTTCTGTACACATAGTTCTGGATCTAGTTAACGAATATACAGAGCTTCTAACACAGCAAGATGAAACTTAGACCTTCCACGAGTTAAAATCGAAACGATATCATCACTATACAACTCACGACAACTAACACTGCCCTACAAATTTCAACGAATTTCGTACATTCCCTGTTCTATTGTGAAGAGAACGGAAAGAAAACGTTTGATGGAAGGAAGTGTCTACTGAGTTGTGTGGGTTTCCGTTGTTGCATGCGAAGGTACCGATTGCGAAACTGTTTTTTCACCGCCTCCAAACTACCGCTTGAATGTAAAAAATAATAATAATTGTATCAATTTGAAACTCGGGTATTGAGTCAATAATAAAAGTAGAAAGGAAAAGGACATATGGAAACGAGTTAAGAGTAACTCTCCACCACTGTAACTAGATACTATATACAGTCAGAAAGTGCAACGACTAGGCACAAAACTGACAGAGTAGGTGTCAGGACGTCGAATGTCTCAGTACTCTGTCAGTTTTGTGCCTAGTTGTTGCACTTTCTGACTGTATATAGTATCTAGTTACAGTGGTGGAGAGTTACTCTTAACTCGTTTCCATATGTCCTTTTCCTTTCTAATTGTAACAATCATGGAAATTGTTGGCACAAGTTATTGATTGATATTGATATTGTTATTTTCAAGTATTCTCCAGAGGCAAATGGGTGCCTATCAAAGGGAGTCTCCTGGGGAAAGGAATGCGATCGAGTCCACCAACTAAACAAGGTTTTGAACAGTCAGACGTGCACAATCTAGCACAAAACTGACAAGGACAAATCACTCATCAGGGTAATGAATGACGAAATATTCCACATTTAACAAGTTCCCTTGGGAGATAAACGTTTCTAATTATCCCAAACTCCAACGCAGCCACCTATATTTTTGTTGACAAGGGAACGCAAACTAGGCTCAAGACAAACACCCAGAAAGAAAATATAATAATATTATAATAATAACTTGTATTGTGGCAACACTGGCCAACACTCAGATGCACTGCTTCTTCACACAGCTAAACAATTCTTCTTTCTTCTCACCTAGCCAGCTTGTTGTATTAAAGTCTGCCTTGCTTCCGTGTCTCCTTCATCCTGAAGATGGTCAGAGTGACCGAAACGTTGAGAAGAAAGAAGAATTGTTGAGCTGTGTGAGGAAGCAGTGCATCTGAGTGTTGACCAGTGTTGCCACAATACTAGTTGCTATAATGAAGCTCCGTGAAGCGTCGTTCCGAATTTATTATTATAATAATAATAATGTAGAAAAGAAAAGGACATATGGATACAAGTTAAGAGTAACTCTCCATCACTGTAACTGGATACTATATACAGTCAGAAAGTGCAATAACTTGGCACAAAACTGACAAGAGTACTGAGACATTCGACGTCCTGACACCTAGCTTCAACACATCTCCGTAGCGCTAACCGACAGCCTTCCAACTTGGAAGGTTCAAGGTTATGAAAAGACCAAAGAGGGGAAGGCAAGCGCAACGAAAACGAGCAAAAGCTACAGTCCCAACGGAACAAAGAATGTCGATTGTTAATGGACGATGACGAGACCAGTACGATATTTGACAAAGCGGTCTAACTACAATTCGAAGCAGCAAAGCAGCACACCACCCAACTTGGGTGGGTCATAAATATCAATAATAATAATAATAATCTTTATTTCAGGAGTACCCAAAGTATGTTAGGACAAAGATAGAATCACGACTAGGGCCCCTGTTTGTGTGGTGTGGCTTTCTTAGCTCCGGTGAACAAAGCCACGGTCTCAGTATCACTAGTATGCTGGTTTGTTGTGTACACGTCGACGGCATGGACTGTGGCTTTCCATGTGGGGAGTTGCCTCCGAGTAGGCCATAGGCCGTATGGGAAGGATCGATGTAACCAGCATTGCAGGATGTCAGGACTTGTTTCGGGGAGGGGGTTCGACAACCGGAAGGTGAGGGAAAACTCCTCTTGATTCTGGTGGCGGGTTCTGGACTGCACGGGCTCAGGGGCAGCAGGTGGCAGTAGGTATGTCAGCTGGGCCGGACAGAAAGCTTTCTTTTCTTGCAATCCCTATGGAATGCTCTTCCGACACTTATTTTTGTTATGCAGTGTCTGGAGATTAATCGGCGGAAGCAGTTTTACATTGGTCCGCCAATACCATAGCCCATACCATAGTCCATACCATAGTCCATACCATAGCCCATACCATAGTCCATACCATAGTCCATACCATAGTCCATACCATAGTCCATACCATAGTCCATACCATAGTCCATACCATAGCTCATACCATAGCCCATACCATAGTCCATACCATAGTCCATACCATAGTCCATACCATAGCCAATACCATAGCCCATACCATAGCCCTTACCATAGCCCATACCATAGCCCATACCATAGCCCATACCATAGTCCATACCATAGCCCATACCATAGCCCATACCATAGTCCATACCATAGCCCATACCATAGTCCATACCATAGCCCATACCATAGCCCATACCATAGTCCATACCATAGCCCATACCATAGCCCATACCATAGCCCATACCATAGTCCATACCATAGTCCATACCATAGCCCATACCATAGCCCATACCATAGCCCATACCATAGTCCATACCATAGTCCATACCATAGTCCATACCATAGTCCATACCATAGCCCATACCATAGCCCATACCATAGCCCATACCATAGTCCATACCATAGCCCATACCATAGTCCATACCATAGCCCATACCATAGCCCATACCATAGTCCATACCATAGCCCATACCATAGCCCATACCATAGTCCATACCATAGTCCATACCATAGCCCATACCATAGCCCATACCATAGTCCATACCATAGCCCATACCATAGCCCATACCATAGCCCATACCATAGTCCATACCATAGTCCATACCGTAGCCCATACCATAGTCCATACCATAGTCCATACCGTAGCCCATACCATAGTCCATACCATAGCCCATACCATAGCCCATACCATAGTCCATACCATAGCCCATACCATAGTCCATACCATAGTCCATACCATAGCCCATACCATAGCCCATATCATAGCCCATACCATAGCCCATACCATAGTCCATACCATAGTCCATACCATAGCCCATACCATAGCCCATACCATAGCCCATACCATAGTCCATACCATAGTCCATACCATAGCCCATATCATAGCCCATACCATAGCCCATACCATAGTCCATACCATAGCCCATACCATAGCCCATACCATAGCCCATACCATAGTCCATACCATAGCCCATACCATAGCCCATACCATAGCCCATACCATAGCCCATACCATAGTCCATACCATAGCCCATACCATAGCCCATACCATAGCCCATACCATAGCCCATACCATAGCCCATACCATAGTCCATACCATAGCCCATACCATAGCCCATACCATAGCCCATACCATAGTCCATATCATAGCCCATACCATAGTCCATACCATAGCCCATACCATAGTCCATACCATAGCCCATACCATAGTCCATACCATAGCCCATACCATAGCCCATACCATAGTCCATACCATAGCCCATACCATAGCCCATACCATAGCCCATACCATAGTCCATACCATAGTCCATACCATAGCCCATACCATAGCCCATACCATAGCCCATACCGTAGTCCATACCATAGTCCATACCATAGTCCATACCATAGTCCATACCATAGTCCATACCATAGTCCATACCATAGCCCATACCATAGCCCATACCATAGTCCATACCATAGCCCATACCATAGCCCATACCATAGCCCATACCATAGCCCATACCATAGCCCATATCATAGCCCATACCATAGTCCATACCATAGTCCATACCATAGTCCATACCATAGTCCATACCATAGCCCATACCATAGCCCATACCATAGTCCATACCATAGTCCATACCATAGTCCATACCATAGCTCATACCATAGCCCATATCATAGCCCATACCATAGCCCATACCATAGTCCATACCATAGTCCATACCATAGCCCATACCATAGCCCATACCATAGCCCATACCATAGTCCATACCATAGTCCATACCATAGCCCATATCATAGCCCATACCATAGCCCATACCATAGTCCATACCATAGCCCATACCATAGCCCATACCATAGCCCATACCATAGTCCATACCATAGCCCATACCATAGCCCATACCATAGCCCATACCATAGCCCATACCATAGTCCATACCATAGCCCATACCATAGCCCATACCATAGCCCATACCATAGCCCATACCATAGTCCATACCATAGCCCATACCATAGCCCATACCATAGCCCATACCATAGTCCATATCATAGCCCATACCATAGTCCATACCATAGCCCATACCATAGTCCATACCATAGCCCATACCATAGCCCATACCATAATCCATACCATAGCCCATACCATAGCCCATACCATAGCCCATACCATAGCCCATACCATAGCCCATACCATAGCCCATACCATAGTCCATACCATAGCCCATACCATAGCCCATACCATAGTCCATACCATAGTCCATACCATAGCCCATACCATAGCCCATACCATAGCCCATACCATAGTCCATACCATAGTCCATACCATAGTCCATACCATAGTCCATACCATAGTCCATACCATAGTCCATACCATAGCCCATACCATAGCCCATATCATAGCCCATACCATAGTCCATACCATAGTCCATACCATAGCCCATACCATAGCCCATATCATAGCCCATATCATAGCCCATACCATAGTCCATACCATAGCCCATACCATAGTCCATACCATAGTCCATACCATAGTCCATACCATAGCCCATACCATAGCCCATACCATAGTCCATACCGTAGCCCATACCATAGTCCATATCATAGCCCATATCATAGCCCATACCATAGTCCATACCATAGCCCATACCATAGCCCATACCATAGCCCATACCATAGCCCATACCATAGCCCATACCATAGCCCATATCATAGTCCATACCATAGCCCATACCATAGCCCATACCATAGTCCATACCATAGTCCATACCATAGCCCATACCATAGCCCATACCATAGCCCATACCATAGCCCATACCATAGCCCATACCATAGCCCATACCATAGCCCATACCATAGCCCATACCATAGTCCATACCATAGCCCATACCATAGCCCATACCATAGCCCATACCATAGCCCATACCATAGCCCATACCATAGCCCATACCATAGTCCATACCATAGTCCATACCATAGCCCATACCATAGCCCATACCATAGCCCATACCATAGCCCATACCATAGCCCATACCATAGCCCATACCATAGCCCATACCATAGCCCATACCATAGCCCATACCATAGCCCATACCATAGTCCATACCATAGCCCATACCATAGCCCATACCATAGCCCATACCATAGCCCATACCATAGCCCATACCATAGTCCATACCATAGCCCATACCATAGCCCATACCATAGCCCATACCATAGTCCATACCATAGTCCATACCATAGCCCATACCATAGCCCATACCATAGCCCATACCATAGCCCATACCATCGCCCATACCATAGCCCATACCATAGCCCATACCATAGCCCATACCATAGTCCATACCATAGTCCATACCATAGCCCATACCATAGCCCATACCATAGCCCATACCATAGCCCATACCATCGCCCATACCATAGCCCATACCATAGCCCATACCATAGCCCACACCATAGCCCATACCATAGTCCATACCATAGCCCATACCATAGCCCATACCATAGCCCATACCATAGCCCATACCATAGTCCATACCATAGTCCTTACCATAGCCCATACCATAGCCCATACCATAGCCCATACCATAGTCCTTCACGCACTGTGCACGCAGATTATGGCGAGTGCAGTGCACACGACCACCTCACGTGTTGATGGCCAGAAAGTTGGTCCGGCTGGCCAGCACAGGGCCTGATTAACTGAACCGTTTCTGTCAGGCCTGTGCAGCACTCTGGAATCTACAACATGAACTTGTGTGTGTGTTGTGTGTGTTGTGTCGTGCGAGCAAGAGTGCATAACCCCACGGGGGTTATGCACTCTTGGTGCGAGGCATAGGCACGAGTGGATTATGCTGGCATAATTATTGGCATAATTTGATGGTTGAAGATTTGGAGCATACTTTGGCATCATTTCGGAGGTAGGATCAAAACTACATACATGGTTGTACCACAGTTCTAGTGTGTATGCTACACAATTGTGTACAATGCACCTGATCAGTGCTGGTGGTCTGCATGGTAAAGGGTTCGGAGGTCATGCAGATAGTGTTTTCAATGAAAAGCAGGTTAGAAATCACGGCAATACATTATTGTACGCTCGAACTCGTCTTCAAAGTACGAATTCATGACCTCTGGATTTTAGCAGCCATGACTGTGCAGGCTATGGATGTTGTGAAACCACAAGTTCTCGAGAGTGAAAGGCCTTCTCGCTTGTGACATTGCGTTCGTTCCAATGCAGCTGTATCCCGACTCCGCCGTACCGCTGATGTTTACGACGTAGTATACGCTACATGCGCTATGTGCGGTTTGCTGTGTGCGCTGTAGTTGTATGTTGTATGTGTATGCTTTTCTCATATACGCTGTCATTTTCACGCTATAACTACCTGGTGGTTTTAGTGTTAGTTATTCAGTTCTTTCAGTTGTTCATTCATTGTTCATTGTTATTAGTCGATGGAAGTGAAATATACTGTTGAGAATAAATAGTTGTCCTCGTGCCGTGTGGGGTCGTTCGTTCCTGATACTTTAGAGAGCCGGAGGGTTCACAACAATGGATATTGCTCTGATAATTAAAAAATCGAGGAACATGTACATGTATAGTTGAGGTTCGGTCATGATGGAAGGAGAGGTGGAGCTACGGGAGAGATGAGCTGATTATTCGCAGGGTGAGGGTGACATCGGTTGTCAGGGTATGACGATTACGAAGACAGTTGAGCATGATAATTTTCAAAGGCAACTCAAACTACTTTTGAAGGAATTTGGCAATGAAAACATCTTTTTACAAAGAAGTGAACTAATGAATAAAAGAAGTAATGTTTTCTCTTTTCCATCATTTTGATCTATAGCATGCATGGACACCTTGGTATGGGGGTACTCATGTATTTTGTTGTACTTATGCCAGCAGTTATGGCCACTTGCAAGTAGGCCTCGGCGGATAATGCTAGCATTGTAACTGGCATTACGAGCATCGTTTTGAGAACTAGCAATGCTCCAGCATTGTAC